CCCTCAATAGGCAGGACCAAATGGTCCCTTTGCCATTTGGATATAGATCACTCTCCATTCTTTCACCTTCGAGGCTATGCCCCTAGTTCAGTGAGCCCCAGCCCAGTCAGTTCCCCTTCTAGGAATCACAAACACCAGCTTCATGGAGCCCTTCAAGTTCTGGGGTTCTGATAACTCCACCTTTTCCCTGTCTTTCCCATCCCCACTGGAGATGCCTGCCATTACAGATTTTCTTTGTTTGTACATTTGTTTGTTAGTTTGTTTTGAGTGATATTTTTGCTATTAGGATGCACGTACTTGCTAGAGAGACAGAGAGGAAGAAAGTGAGAAATCACCGCCCTGCCCACTGCTATTGATGCCTCCTAGCCATCCTCAGAGGCTCCAGTGCCATCATCACAAAAGGAAACTACTTTTACATATTCTTTTTTCTTTTTTTTTTTTTTTCAAAAAAAGAGAGGTTTTGTTATAGGACACATGCACTTGCCAAAAAGGCAGCGAGGGACAGAAAGAAAAGACAGAAAGCGAGAAATCAGCCCCCATGAAGATGGCCATGCCGCAATCCCTTCTCCCCTTCTCTTCTCAGGATCTTGGGAACACATGCACAGCGCCTGGCATGAGTTCAAGCCACTGGGACCAGGACTCGAACCACAGTCAACTATGTTGGAGTCCAACGATGTAACCATTATGCCATCTGCTGATCCCATACTTTTACATATTCTTGCACGCTCCATGGAGGCCCACATTACTTGCGAAAGAAAAGTACAATCTAGTAGGTGAGGTGCCACGTTCAGATTTAGGTTCCCTAATCTTTAAGCAAGGATTATCTCTTCACTGGTCATATAGCACACGGGGAAGTCTTGTCGCCTTTAAAACTTATTAATGAAAGTACGTCCATCTATACGCCTTCTTATATAAGTTTAAAAAATGTCTCTCAAATCCCCACCCTAAATGGAATTTCTGGTATCTATCACTATTCCAATCACATCATAACCCACAATGACGTGCATCAAATAAATGTAAACCATAAATCATACTCTAAAAAAGAAAAGAAAATGGGCCAGCAAGTGGCAATGTTGTTAAGGCACTGGACTCTCACATGACTGACCACGGTTTAAGTCCCAGACCTGGCAGTTTACTTTATCAGTTTCTCTCTCTCTCTCTCACTCTCTCACTATTCATGCACTCTGTAACTACTTAAAAAGTAATAATAAAAAAATTTAAATAAATAATTATTTAAAAAATTGCTTTAATAGCACAATGAATATGTTTATCTCAGATGTTTTATACATTTTTATTTTTATTTTTTCTTTAAAGAAGAAGTTAAAATTAAGTTTTGAAGAGAAAGAGAAAACCAGTGAAGATGAACACATTGGGAACAATAGCATATGAAAATGTTCAGGTGGACTGCATCAAGGCTGGAAATAATCCTACTTGGGGAAACTTAGGAATATTCAACAGGGATGAGATTTTATCCAGGTGATACTCAAGAGAATACTGCCTAAAATGAGTGCCTCTCACAACACAAAGATGGAAGCACAGTAAAATACCAATGTACCTAATTAGACACGATCAAGTAGGTATGCCCTGAAGTGGAAAGTCAGTCACAGAAATAACTTTAATTCAAAGTTAGATCAAATATGTTAGGTATGGTCTCAGAAATATTTGGGAGTTGAGAATTTTTTTTTAAGAAAGATTTTTGCTATAGGGTATGTGCATTCACGGGAGACACAGAGAGAGACAGAGAGATAGAAAGTGAGAAACCACACCCCAGGGGGAGATGGCCACAATCCCTTCTCCTCCTGGGATTTTAGGCACTCATGCACATGTGTCCAGCATGAGTTTCAAGCTGCCAGGTCTAAGACTTGAACTACGGTTGACCATATGAGAGTCCAGCACCTTAACCACTATGCCATCTGTTGGCCCCAAGAGCTGAGAATTTTAAATATCTCTATTTGTATTCATGTATCTTTGGCAGTTTCAGATCTTTCCGTTATTATATGCTCTGACCTGTGGATTTTCCTATTAGTAAAATAACACTATAATTTCCAAGCCCCTTTCAGCCAAAACTGGGTGAATCCAGAGATCTACAAAGTGCCGTGAGTGCCATGATGGAAGATACTCTATAAATGAAAAGGAAAATTTAGTCATAATAAAAATGGTAAATGATGATAAATGCCAGTGTCACTGAAAAGAAGCTGGCTTGACATTTTTACAGCCCAAAGCAACCAGCTGTGAGCTAGAAATAATGTGTGTCCAGGCCAGGAGGATACTCAGTGACAGACCACATTAACCTTTAAACCCAAGATGTGAATCAAGCCCACGATTTGGAAGTGTGAGTATTTGAAAGGGAAGAAACCGCAATACCTCACCTCTGGCCTGACTATTGCCTTGGGTATATGAGATCTTTCCCAGAAAGGTCAACGGGGAGCACATTGTCTTCCTCTTCCAACAGAAGAGAAAACTGAGTAGATCAGGGGAAAAGCCAGTATTCCAAACTGGAGTTAGGATTACAAATTCAGGGTTCTTTCCAGTCCCTACCAGACCCCAGACAATTCACCAGAAGGACAGACTTCAGAGAAGAGCCAACTTGGATTGAAAAATATCAGAAGGGGATCATGTCCCTCAAAATGACTTGAAGAGCTGTTTTCCACCCACTGAGGCTAAGAAAGCTCACTAGTAAAATTCCTGGCAGAGAGGACTCATTCATTGAT